ATCAGTGCCGTCTCCCTGGCCTGCGCCACCCTCATCCTGAGCTTCCTGCAGTTAATGGCGACCTACGCGCATAACTGGCTGCAAATGAGGCCCATCCCCAGCATTCCCTACGCCTACCCCTTCCTGGGACACGGGCTAATGGTGGAGCGAGGAGGGAAAGGTAAGGGACTGCGCGCCCGGGCCAGCTGCATCCCCGCCATGGGCTGTTGGGCCCCTTACCCGCCTGGGGCACCAGGACTGGAGCTGCAGGCTGCTGGGTGAGGGGCGACTCTATCACCCCCTGGATAATGGGTTCCCACTTCTCTCCAGTTTGCGTTACACATAAGTGCAGTGTTTCTAAACTCCCGTACTTCTGCCTTTTCTCTTCTCATTTTCCCAACTCCTGGCTGATGCCTTCTGAAAACACCGCCTGTAGCCCTAGCTGGCTTGGTAGGGTTTCATTCTGGTCAAGGGCATATGCCTGGCTTGCGGGCTAGATCCTGTGATGGGTGTGCACGAGGCAGCTGATCAAACATTCTCTCACATCATTGATTTTTCTCTCTCTCACTCCCTCTCCCATCCCCTCTGGAATCAATACAAATATATTTAATATGAAAAACAACAACAACAAAAAAACACTGCTTGTTTTTGCTTCTGTCTTTCCTGTTAAAGTCCTAAAGGCAGACACAACTTATAACTTTGTCTGTCTATCTCCCACCCACCCACTCCCCCTCTGCAAAATAAGGGACGAGAAATGCACTCCAGACCAGAGCCTCTCCCTGCAGAAATCACAAGACTTGACCATAACTATCTTTCCTCCTTGGCCCTTCTAAAGAGTTACATACCAACATGAATTATGATGTTAAAGTCATACAGCAAGTTTCACAAATCTTATTTGTTAAAGAGTGAATTGTTGTTTTTATTGAAATCATCTTTTGAAGAGACAGCTTTATGTTATGATAGGGGTAGAGGGATCACTTTTAAATTAGAATGCTCCTAAAAGTCCCTGATGTTTGCATCCCCCATGAGGGAGTGTGAGTTAGATCTTAGCACTTCATCTTCCTGGCTGGATAAGTTGAAATGCCCAAAACTGGAAAGATTTGCCCCAAATGACATATTTTAAAATGAGCCCAGAACTAGAATCCAATCAGCCCTCAGCTTAATTGAAGAAGTTTTATAGACTGAACATCAATTCCAAAGCTTATAGGATTATATCTTTTCCACTTTCCTTTCTCCAAATAAAAATAATGCTGTCATTTCAACTTCACAGGAAGACATGAGACCTCATGGGAGAGTGTTACCAACATACAGAAAATCTTTCTGGCAGAAGAAATCCCAGTAAACTTTTAACCAACCAAATATCAATGCGACTAATGTTGCAAGTGATGCAGCAGATTTTGATATATGAAAATTACATTTCTAAACATCATCATGGGGAACACTAAAATCAGAGCTAATCTTCCCTTCTACCCAAAGGCTTTATAATATTAAAAAATAATGGTGTAGAAATACAGACTCCTCTCTCCAA